CTTGAATATTTTACATATTCTGTCTTCTTCATCTTTGTTTCAAGGCATGGGGGTTGATTATATTAGTAAATTGCCAGGGTGTGAATCTTCAGTAAAAATGAGGGGGGGGAATTCAGTAAAGGATGAGTGTTAAATGAAGAAGACGCCAGCTTTGTTATTGACTAAGATCAACCGGTTCTTTAAGCAATAATAATTTATGAGAATCTTAGCAATCAAGGCAAAACAGGGTCCAGCTTATTACTGTACCAAATAAAGCTTATGACTTTTCTAAGGACCAAACTAAAACCTTACTAAACGAGCACAACGACTGAGACCATCTTCTGCAACAACTTATACATAGGCTACACTCTTCTTATATAACTTACTCAACTATAAAAAAATTGCTAATTGTGGGTTGCTTCTTCAACTTGAACAATGAAAACAAAACTTAATGTATTACGAGCTGTTGGCCCGTCCTTACGGGAATTGAGTAGTCAACTAAAACTGAAGTTATGTCAATATTTCCATTTCCAATCTTAGCAAAGTTTAAGCGGTTAAACATTTATTGTAAACAAAAAGCTGCCAAGATGAGTTAAAACATGTAAACATTGTTATTTTACTATTCTTTACTCAAAAAGTCGAATAGAAAAGAAATTTGCATAACCTTTCCTTTTGAAGACTCGGGGGCAGAGCCTCTTTATACATCAGTGGTTATACAATCCACAGAGCATTGGATGGAGAGGACTAAGTCCTAAAACAGCCTCAGTCCAGTAGGGTTTCAGCTCTCTGGATTGGAACATCACGAAGAAGAGACAGAGCATAGTAGAAACTTACTCATTTCCATAACCGATGATGAAATCACATAATAATAAACTAACCTGATAGATCCATAGTATATTTTTATATTTAACCAGCTGTTAGTTAAAACAAATTACATTGCACTAAAACAATTTTAAATTTTAAAGACTGCTAAAAAGTAAATTAGAACATCTAGCATTTTACCACGTATATTTAAATAGTCTGTCATCCTCATACCAAATAAAAGAATGTATAAATGAGTATAGCATTGCAAGTAGTATAAATAATAGCCCAGTAAATAAAGACAAATATATAAACGGAGTCGAAACAAATTAGCGACAGGCAAAACTATATACCAATCGTTAGTACCCAACTAGATATACATTTTCCCAAAAGTCCAGAAAAATCCCCCCGGTGCTTTCCCCCCCACCCCCCCTCAAAGTCAAAATTGCATGGTTTTACTAAAACACGTCTAGTTTACGTACGAGTTGTCTAATTCGGTTAAATAATAGCTTGTTGTCTTTAGAATAATATATTTACTAGCTTTTTATGCCAATTATATACTGTATATTGTTTGAAAAAAGTCACAGTAACCTATTCATTGACATTGTCCATGCTTTTTTAAATACAAAGTAATAAATGTACAACTACATAGATTATTATAGATAGTATAGGCATACATTGGCCGAGTTTTAGAAACACTTTAAACAAAGCTTTCTCTGTAAGTACATTTGTACAAAATCATTAGAATTTGAAATGGGGGTTTCACTGTTTTTATTTGCAAATAGGTGTAACTTAGTAATTGATATTTTTCACGTAATAGGTAAATTAATCTGTCTCAATAAATTAAACCCTTTAAACAATCATCTATGTTTGCATTCCAAACCTACTGAACACCAATGAATGGATGTGGTTAACTGTTGTCCATAATCACAAAATAATGATTGTCTTTGATTCCTAAAATCAATATTTATGTTTTGAACTAAACGTTTGTCAATTTCTGTGCCATTATAGACACACAAGTTTTTTATTTCGTTAAACTTTGTTACAAACAAAATAATAACTTTTTTGACCAAACCTTGTTTTATGGATCGATTCGATTGTTTTAATATTTTGTTATTCAGGACAAATGAATTTATATGCATTCGTTCGGCAGATATTTGATTGCATATTAAAATATAATGATATGAGACTTTAACTCACAATAGTTTAGTACATAGCTTTTTTGACATCTTTTCAAACACATTTAATCGTGCGTAAATAAAATACCCCCGCCGTAGTAAACCTGCAGACTTACTTTTGCCTGAATTGATTCTCACTTAAATCTACAGTAGACTCCCTCCTATCCGGACTCCTCGGGACCGAGGCCAGTCCGGATGATGGCTTTTCCGGTTAAACCGACGTCCCCAAAAACTCGTTAAAACGGACCATTTAAATGCATACTGTATACAGTATTTGACTTAAATTTAGTCGAGCATTGTATTTACACACGTGATCACTGGTTTCAAATCTTTCCTACGAGAACAGTCGTTTCAGTACTGCCTACTTCCTGCCGATCTAGTCCGGTTATTCCGATGTGCTGATAAAAATTGTCCGGTTAAAGAGATGTCATTTACGCTGAGTGTAGACCGGTTAAACCGATGTCCGGTTAAAAGGTGTCCGGATAAGAGGGAGTCTACTGTATTTAAATAACATTAGGTTTAATAAGTAGCTTAACTAGGTTCGCTGCTACAAAGGGGTAATAAAGTGTGTTATTAGTAAAATATTAAAAGCTTAGTATAAAGTAAATAAATTTGCCAATTTTGATCAAAATATATCCATAAACAAACTGTCACAGTTTACCTAATCTCCACAAGAATAACATGGGAGAAAATCATGAATAACATTTTTCAAAAATAGCTCCGTTAACTACTTATCCACCATTTTGTATTTTTCACATTAACATTTTGATATATGGATTATTCCAACAGATTTTTATGAAACTTAGTGTATACTAGCTGTGTACCCGTTCTACGCACCGGGATCTTATAGTAATCAGTTGAAACCTTCTTATATAAAGAACAGTAGTTGGTTTGCATATTTTCAGATATGCTGGCCAAACTATTTATTATACATAACTTCATTTTATGTCGTTTGTTGTTGTTCCGGATCGGTATGACAATCAATAAAAGGCTAAATTACCTGTGTCCGCCGGTCGATCCTAATGTATCCTATTACAGGAGATGCATTTTGGCGAAATTAAATCGCCATCATCAGTCCTAAAGGTCTTGAGCTTCCCCATTAGGTGCGTCTTGGAGTTTTTGAAACACATACACGAACTGTACACTTATACACATGACGAATAAAACATAAATACACAGTAGGTCTACTTTTATTTTTACTATAGACAAGTAGACGCGCGTCGGTCGTGTGCCGAGTCTCGACTGAAAACGCTCATTTAAAAAATGTAAGTTTCCCAGCAATATACAACACTGATTCAAGGTCTATTTCCCGGTTATCAAAACTCAAGAACAATTTTATACACAAAGAATCTCTATTTTCATTTACTGTTACCCTACATATTATTGCACTTGCGATTAATTAAATCCGTTATGTAAGGAAAAACGTTTTTAATCTTAATTGGTTTGGATTTGCTTTCAAGACGTGATCGGAAATGGTTGCGGTATTTGTAAACAACATTCAATGTAAACATATCAGTGACAGCTAGAAGAAATAATCTTGATTTGAACAGCTGTTCGTTATTTCATAGAAGAATATGTGCTAAACATTGGGAGAAAACTTTACAAAAAATCGCACAAAATTGGGTTTTTAAACGTCCGTTATTTTATTTACAAAGTGGTGACGCTATATTTTAATGGCTAAAGACAATTTCGCCAATCCAGTGAATACATTTAAATGATTTAGAACTTGATAGGTACTCTCGTTTTTCAGGAGTAGGCCGCGTAAAATGGCTCTTGGGTCGTAACAGACATGAAGACAGACAGAAATTTAGATGAGACTTGTTTCGGTTTCTCTAATGTATGAAACGTAAAAATAACCTAAAAGTTTATGATTCTGAGCAATGTACAGACAAAACTCTAATTTTATTTATATAGATGTTAAGATAAAAAAAACCCATTAAAAAAATGTTATCTTGATCCAATTCAACATTTCAAAAGGCGGCCATTTTAGTTTTTATTTTTTATGACAAAAAGGCTGATTTCATAGAAAAAAGGCTCCATTTATTATCATTTTCAAATTTGTATCAAATGACACCAAGTTTAAAAAGATCTGATAAAAATAACTGAAATATCGCAATTTTAGTTGTAAAATTAGGTAGAATAGGTTAATCTAGTCCGGTTTGCCTCATTTTACAACTAAAAATCGAGATAGGCATATTTAATTTATTTTGTATTCTATCGAGTATGATCGGAATATGCAAATGGGTTTTAAGGGGGTATATGGAAAAATGGTGATTTTTCATTTTGACCCTAAAAACATATTATTTTGCAATTTCTTTCTATACTATTTTGCAAGGCTTAATAAAGAAATTGTTTTGTATATAGAAGTGTTTTTGTATGCCTGACAGTTACGGTGAAAATTTCAAAAAAGTTAAAATTTAAAATGAAAATTTGTTTATTTAATACTTAGGTATCAATACTTCTATTAAAAAAATACACCTTATTGTCTCTCCCTTTAGCAACAAACGTAAGTACTCATTTAAACCAATGTTAATTAATCTTCTTATTTTTGCAGAAAACTAGGTAAATGGAAATTCACTTAGTCTGCAGGTTTGCTGTGGTGGGGATGTTTCTTTGTTTGTTAAAAGGTTGCTGTTGCTTGGATTTAAAGCTATAATTTTCTAACTTAACTCTTTCGTCAGTGACTTTCCGTTTTCTTAAATTTCCCTCTTGATAGAAATTACGCGTGCAGTAGCACCTTAGAAGTCTTGTGTCTATTTTACCCTCTTACCTCTCAAATACAGACAAGCAAGTGTAACATTACTTCAAGGGAAGCATGGGACTCGCAATATACAGAAAGGATATAATTAGAGTGATAAGGCTATAACAGCCCCAGATGGATCGTCATAATCACATCACGTTGGTTGGGAAAACAATGGACGAACTTGACAAAATCCTGCTCCTCGAGACTCACCTGAAAATTCTTTATACTAATGTGAAATAATGACAGGGACTGCTATTAATAGCAATGTTATTAATTAGCAACTGATAATAATAAGCACATTCAATTTGTTAAACACAGTTTAGTTTAATGCCATAGGTTTTCACATAGACACTATTCAATTCATCTGCTGATTTTTCACATGTGACCGATGTACCATTCAATTACCACCCTTTCCTTTTGTTGATTGTTTTGCTGCTGCTGTGAGTGCCCTATTAATGTAAAATCTAGTCATCAAGCTGTCACCCACCCAAAGCACTGTCGCCGTCACCGCTGCCACTGCCAATCCTGGAAGAGATAAATTGTCTTTCCCTTCAACGACTCTCCCGTAAGCAGCTACCTCTGCCCTCTTTTCTTCTGAAAACATAATAAAAAATAATTATTTGATGTCATCAATATCCATTCCATTGATAAATTCGATTGCTAACTATATGGTTTTACAAATTCCACACGAGTTAAGCCCTCAAATCTTGTCTTTGATGTTTAACGGCAATAAACGATTCTCATTCAGATTCTTTCCTCCCGAATTCTATATTAAATACCCCCGCCGCAGCAAACCTGCCGACTAAGCGAATTTCCATTTGCCTGAATTGATTTTCAATTTAATGTATTTAATTAAGATTAGGTTTTATGAGTACCTAGGCTTGCTGCTACGTGGAGGGTAAAAAAGTAAGTTTTTTAGTAAAATATTAATAACTTAGTATAAAATAAATAAATTTACCAAGTTTGGTCAAAATGTATACATAAACAAGCAAACTACAACATTTTACAATATTCTACATAAGAATAACATAGGAATTTTTAAATATTTTTTTTATTTTCTCCAAAACCAATAATTGACCAAAACATAATTTGTTTATAAATGTATATGATCCATACCGGTTCTGTTCAAGTAGTCGTGCTTTCTCTATATTTACACATTATATCATAGATTAAAAGAACTAGACAAACTATACTATATGTCTATACTCCTTTTATCTATGATTATATGGAGAAAGTATTGTTTTCGTCGAAATATTCGAGTTTGAGTTTTAGGTGTTTATTTTTATACGTTTTGGGTAGCCCTGAAAAAAGATGTTTTCGAATTGATGTGTGTGTGTAAAAGAGAGTCACAGAGGGAGGTATTTCTTGGACTGGGGGGTGTTGGCATTTTTGGACCCTTCAGTACCGTATGTGATTGTGGACATAGAACATTGCGGACACATAATCAAAGCAGGCATCAAAACAGGACATTTAACAAGAAATAATTTTTTAATTCTTTTTGTCTATGATTTATGACAACAACTAATTAAACTAAGCAGCAACAAAAATCTGTGATGCACACAGAAAACACTGCCAAAGTAGGATTGTATACATTTATGTTAATGTTTAAATAATTTGGGATATTGTGCGAAGTTTTGATCATTAACTTTTTTCTATTGTTTAGCTGTAGTAGAACATTATGGCTATGGTAGATGTGTTCTCTTATAATGTTATGGGAATTAATCTCAGGAATTTTTCAGTATGTACTTTAAATTTGAAGAAGCAAATGTTCTCAAACTGTGTCCTCTCTTATTGTAAACGCAGAGCAGGAGTAAAACTGCAATAAGATTTTATACGTATATGCCAATCCCGTACGAAGGACAGGCACTCTGCTAGTATTTACACATACTCTATATTTTAGCTTTTAAGTGGTACAATATTTATTGTACTTTCGAATTCGATAATGGGTTTGAAAGGGGTTTGGTATAGAATCGTCAGGGAATCAGGGAAAAATTGTCGTTTGAGTTGGGGTTTCCTTCAGGTGTTTGGCTACCATTGATGTTAATCACCGTAAGGGCCTGACGGTCCTGTGCTAGTCTTAGTCGTGTCGATGAAGCTAATAGGTGAATCATTTGCTAAAACATTTTGTAAAGTGCAGTTACCCTACGTCTACAATAGTTAAGTTACTTACCAATTAATTGATAGGGAGTACTGGTCTCACCATTGTTGAGTGGAAGGTCGTTCGGCGCACCTTTGGCTTCGTAGAACCCCTGAAAAATTACAAAGTCTCCAGTATACCAAATGTTTGAATACCGGACTGTACGACTGTACTCATTGTATATTTACTCTACACCCTGTCTCTAATAGAGGTGCATCATGAATGTGCCTTTTTAAAAGTATTTTTTATATACTTTTTCCGGGGGTGGCTATTCCCTTTCATATTGAAGCATCCACGATGGTTGTATTATGGCATCAGTAAAAATGCTAGAAAAACAATAAGAAAACAATAATTTTGTGCAATTTAACTAATTTATTTTTTTTGCATGTCAATCTCAATCATGATGTCTTAGTACAAAAATCATAATACATTTAGAGTTACTGGGAAATTAGTTGTCTTGCATTTGCTGATGATGTGGAGATTTTCGCGGAGAACAGAATTGGTTTAGTGTCCCTAAAAAGGATCCTGATGAAAGAAGCTAACACAAGGTTAGACTAAAAAGAACCGAAATAAAACAAAATACGTGAAGGTTAGAAGACCAGAATGAATAAATCGACGAGAAGCCCCTAAAGGGTACAGAGTTTTGAGTTGACTTTGAAGATGAGTTAAACTAGCTTGTTATAACAACTTTAAACACAGCAACTAAATAAACCCCCACCGTTATAAATACCCCCGCCGCAGCAAACCTGCCGACTAAGCGAGTTTCCATTTGTCTGAATTGATTTTCAATTAAATCTATAAATATATATCTAAAAAATATTGTGCATTCTACAGAAACCAGTAATTTAGATTAGCACAATCTGTCGGTGGCTTACATCAACTACGATGATTTTGGTAAAAAAAAACTGGCTACAATTTTAACATGGGGATGGAATGTATGAATAACATAGGAATTTTAAATTTACAATTTTTGAAATTTTCTACGTTACAAAAACCGCACAACAACACTCTGATATACTAAATTTTGTTTTTAAGCTTTTTAAAAAGCTCTAGAGAGAAATTGAAAAATTTTGTGTTTTGAGGGTCAAAAATGAGAAAAACAATTTTCACCCCATAAAAAAGCCCGGAAAACCCCGTTTCCATGGTCCGATCATGCTGTTTTGCGAACTCATTCAAGTTATAACTTGATGAAACTTATAAGTTACTCTAGTCAAAACTACTGTACGAATGCTTAAACAAATAATAATACCATCCAATAATTCACATAATACAACTGTATCGATTATAGGTAAGGAAAGACATAATCTATCCAAATCCGTATACAAACTGAAACTAAAAAGAATAAGGAGTGCCTTAAAAACGTAGCAAATCAGTACACATAAATCACTGACACAAGAAAATAGATGGATAAGTAGGAACGATTTCAAATTTATCCCAAGCTATTTTATTAAATGTTAATGTTTTCACTTTTAATCTACTAAAATCAAATTTAATTCCTTCTTTAACTATAGTTAACTTAAATCTATGGCTGTAATATTTACCAAGATGAAAATGAAAGAAGAAACTAGAACCAAACGAATCATTTCGGTTTGGTGGATCCAAGACTAGTGCAGAGTTGTAACTGTTTAAAAGTTAGGTTGAACGTTAGCACCAATTTGCAAACACCCACTTGTAATTTTCCTATTGGTTGTTAGAGTCAATCAATCAAACTATACCGTCAATTAATGTTCTACCACGTGCAAGCAACATGACACTTTAAACCGCATTACTATATACTTTTTTCCTCTTCATAAAAAAATAAAACTGAAATAATATATTTATCATCAGTTTTTCCCTAGTGATGAACTATATTTTTAATCAGCATAACTAAGCAAAAAAATAAGTCAGAAAACGAGATTAGAGGCTAGGGCTGTCATCCTTTTAGACAGGACTGTTAATTAATAGCATTGGCTAAATGTAGAATTACACGAAATGATATTCAAAATACAAGGGAACCATTTTATTTCATTCTTAAACACATCAACATAAACAGAATATTTATTAACAAACTTATTAATAATAAATCAGCTGATTCACTTACAAATGTAACTATCCCACACTTTTCCACTCTTTCTTTTTATGCTGATTCTACAGCTCTACAGAAAAATTATAATTAGAGTGATAAGGCTATAACAGCCCCAGATGGATCGTCATAATCACATCACGTTGGTTGGGAAAACAATGGACGAACTCGACAAAATCCTGCTCCATGAGACTCACCTGAAACGCTTTATACTAATGTGAAATAATGACAGGGACTGCAATTAATAGCAATGCTATTAATTAGCAACTGATAATTATAAGCACATTCAATTTGTTAAACACAGTTTAATGCCATAGGTTTTCACATAGACACTATTCAATTCATCTGCTTGATTATTCGCATGTGACCGTCGTACCATTCAATTACCACCCTTTTCTTTTGTTGGTGCGTTAGCCACTGCATTTAATGCAGTTTTTATATAAAATCTATTTATCAAGCCGGAACCGAAGTAGAGCAATCCCGCCGTCACCGCTGCCACTGCCACGCCTGGAAGAGATGATTCGGGATCTTTCCCTTCAACGACTCTCCCGTAAGCAGCTACCTCTGCCCTCTTTTCTTCTGAAAACATAATACAAAATAATGATTTGATGTCATCAATATCCCTTCCACTGATAAATTCGATTGCTAACGATATGGTTTTACAAATTCCACACGAGTTAAGCCCTCAAATCTTGTCTTTGATGTTAAACGGCAATAAACGATTCTGATTCAGCCTTTTTTCTTCTGAATTCTATATTAAAAACATTAAGATATGGTTTAGACGGTTCCATCCAAGTAATATCAAAAAATGTTTATTTTTGGGTCAAAAACATCATTTGTTTATGTATATGATACATACCGGTTCTGTTCAAGTATTCGTGCTTTCTCTATATTTACACATTATATGGAGAAAGTATTGTTTTTGTCGAAATATTCGAGTTTGAGTTTTAGATTGAAAAAAAGATGTTTTCGAAGTGATGTGTGTGTAAAAGAGAGTCACAGAGGGAGGTATTTCTTGGACTGGGGGGTGTTGGCATTTTTGGACCCTTCAGTTGGTGTCCGGCTGATATTGCGGACATAGAACATTGCGGACACATAATCAAGGCAGGACATTTCACAAAAAATAATTTTAAAATTCTTTTTGTCTATGATTTATGACAACAACTAATTAAACTAAGCAGCCACAAAAATCTGTGATACACACAGAAAACACTGACAAAGTAGGATTGTATACAGTTATGTTAATGTTTAAATAATTTGGGATATTGTGCGAAGTTTTGATCATAAACTTTTTTCTATTGTTTAGCTGTAGTAGAACATTATGGCTATGGTAGATGTGTTATCTTATAATGTTATGGGAATTAATCTCAGGAATTTTTCAGTATGTACTTTAAATTTGAAGAAGCAAATTTTCTCAAACTGCGTCCTCTCTTATTGTAAACGCAGAGCAGGAGTAAAACTGCAATAAGATTTTATACGTATATGCCAATCCCGTACGAAGGACAGGCACTCTGCTAGTATTTACACATACTCTATATTTTAGCTTTTAAGTGGTACAATATTTATTGTACTTTCGATAATGGGTTTGAATGGGGTTTGGTCTAGAAACGGTAGAAAATTGTCAGGGAAAATTGGAATCAGGGAAAATTGTCGTTTGAGTTGGGGTTTCCTTCAGGCGTTTGGCTACCATTGATGTTAATCACCGTAAGGGCCTGACGATCCTGTGCTAGTCCTAGTCGTGTCGATGAAGATTCCTAATAGGTGAATCATTTGCTAAAACATTTTGTAAAGTGCAGTTACCCTACGTCTACAATAGTTAAGTTACTTACCAATTAATTGATAGGGAGTACTGGTCTCACCATTGTTGAGTGGAAGGTCGTTCGGCGCACCTTTGGCTTCGTAGAACCCCTGAAAAATTACAAAGTCTCCAGTATACCAAATGTTTGAATACCGGACTGTACGACTGTACTCATTGTATATTTACTCCATACCCTGTCTCTAATAGAGGTGCATCATGAATGTGGCATTTTAAAAGTATTTTTTATATACTTTTTCCGGGGGTGGCTATTCCCTTTCATATTGAAGCATCCACGACGGTTTTAATATGGCATCAGTAAAAATGCTAGAAAAACAATAAGAAAACAATAATTTTGTGCAATTTAACTAATTTATTTTGTTTGCATGTCTATCTCAATCATGATTTCTTAGTACAAAAATCATAATACATTTAGGGTTACTGAGAAATTAGTTGTCTTGCATTTGCTGATGATGTGGAGATTTTAGCGGAGAACAGAATTGGTTTAGTGTCCCTAAAAAGGATCCTGATGAAAGAAGCTAAAACAAGGTTAGACTAAAAAGAACCGAAATAAAACAAAATACGTGAAGGTTAGAAGACCAGAATGAATAAATCGACGAGAAACCCCTAAAGGGTACAGAGTTTTGAGTTGACTTTGAAGATGAGTTAAACTAGCTTGTTATAACAACTTTAAACACAGCAACTAAATAAACCCCCACCGTTATAAATACCCCCGCCGCAGCAAACCTGCCGACTAAGCGAGTTTCTATTTGTCTGAATTGATTTTCAATTAAATCTATAAATATATATCTAAAAAATATTGTGTATCTACAGAAACCAGTAATTTAGATCAGCACAATCTGTCGGTGGCTTACATCAACTACGATGATTTTGGTAAAAAAAACTGGCTACAATTTTAACATGGGGATGGAATGTATGAATAACATAGGAATTTTAAATTTAAAATTTTTTTAATTTTCTACAAAAACTTTGATATACTAAATTTTGTTTTTAAGCTTTTTAAAAAGGTCTAGAGAGAAATGCGCAAATTTTGTGTTTTGAGGGTTAAAAATGAGAAAAACAATTTTCACCCCATAAAAAACCCCGTAAAACCCCGTTTCTATGGTCCGATAATGCTGGTTCGCGAACTCATTCAAGTTATAACTTGATGAAACTTATTGAAACTTATAAGTTACTCTAGTCAAAATTACTGTACGAATGCTTAAACAAATAATAATACCATCCAACAATTCACACAATACAACTGTATCGATTATAGGTAAGGTAAGACATAATCTATCCAAATCCGTATACAAACTGAAACTAAAAAGAATAAGGAGTACCTTAAAAATGTAGCAAATCAGTACACATAAATCACTGACACAAGAAAATAGATGGATAAGTAGGAACGATTTCAAATTTATCCCAAGCTATTTTATTAAATGTTAATGTTTTCACTTTTAATCTACTAAAATCAAATTTAATTCCTTCTTTAACTATAGTTAACTTTAATCTATCACTGTAATATTTACCAAGATGAAAATGAAAGAAGAAACTAGGACCAAACGAATCATTTCGGTTTGGTGGATCCAAGACTAGTGCAGAGTTGTAACTGTTTAAAAGTTATTTTGAACGGTAGCACCAATTTGCAAACACCCACACTAGTAATTTTCCTATTGGTTGTTAGAGTCAATCAATCAAACTAATTATATAGTTGTACTTTCAAATAACTGTCAATTAATGTTCTTCCACGTGCAAGCAACATGACACTTTAAACCGCATTACTATATACTTTTTATATACTCTTCATAAAAAATAAAACTGAAATAATATATTTATCATTAGTTTGAAAAGAACATAATTTAGACAGGACTGTTAATTAATAGCATTGACTTAATGTAGAATTCCACGAAATAATATTCAAAATACAAGAGAACCATTTTATTTCATCAACATAAACATAATATTTATTAACAAACTTAATAATAATAAATCAGCTGATTCACTTACAAATGTAACTATCCAACACTTTTCCACTCTTTCTTTTTATGCTGATTCTACAGCTCCCATTCTTTGACTCATCTGGTCAGTAGTTGTGCTTCTTGTCTGTATAAAATTCACAGCAGTTATTACCATATGTTAAAAACTAGCAGAATACCTGTCCTTCGTACGAGGTTGGCGAATAAGTATAAAATGCTTATTCAGTTATACTCGTGTTTTTTTTTTTGGTTAACAACCTCTTTTAACCTTGCATTTGCCCGTCCACATAGATTACAGATCTGTGCGTGGAACGTATGCAGCAAAGCAAGGTGTGAGCCGGTACAGTACGAAGTTGAACTGTACTGATAAATTTTAGTGGCAGTGACCAGGATCCGAACACATGACATCGCTGCCTTGGCCCGAAGTCCGTGACGCTACCAATTGAGCCACCGACTCACCAACGCGCGCGCATTTGCGTTTGCGTTTGGGACAGGCTACGGTTTGAGAATTTTTTTCCCTACAGTTACCTAACAATGTACATGTTCTCTCACTGATTTGAGAAAGCAAAGTGACCAATTCACTCATCAGTGAGACAATGTTAACATTGTCTCACTCTAAGTACTTTGTCTCACTCCAGATTTGCAACGTGAAGTCACGAAATAGTGAGCGCGTAACATGCAGACAAGGTCGTATGCGCGCGAAATACGTTGGCAGCACTGGCTGTAAATCAGCTGTTGTACTGTTGTTGATCGTGTTGATCATTAAATAAATGTCATATTAAAAGTTCACTTCGTTGTAAAAATATGTCACGTTTCTTTACTAATTTAATTGTTTTATTGTAACTGTAGGAAAAATATAATGTGCAACTCGAGTGCAAAGTGCAATTGCTTCACTCGAGAAAACATTCCTCACTCGCCTATGGCTCGTGAGTAAGGATTTCTCTCGAGTGAGTCAATTGCTCACTTTGCTCACTAGTTGCACAAATAACTATTATTTACGGTATGCTATAGTATAACCATAGACTAACTAACACAAGTAGACTTCCCATCTCATTTTAATTTTTTTAGCTCGTCGTTCGTGTCTAGTTCATGTCCGTTGACACTGGTGGCTAGTGTTGACGAAATTTTGTTTCTAATATTTTACTGTTAATTTGATGATTGTGCTTTACTGTTTGGTTATATAACTAGAGGATGAGTTATTGTTTATGATTACATCGTATTATTTGGCTAAATGGGGTTTTAAATTACTGAAATAATACAAATTGTAAACAAAACACATCTACAGTGCACCGGACAACGATAAAATTGGCTTCAGCTGTTCTATAAGGATGGAAAATCTACTAAGGGAGTATATATATCCATGCAAAAACACATCTAACATAGCCATAATGTTCTACCACTACACCTGAAAGAAATAGTTATTTGTGTAACTAGTGGTGAAAGTGGCACTTTGCTGCACACGAGAGCAATGTTTACGCACGAGCCGCAGGCGAGTGCGGAATGATCTCGAGTGCAGCAAAGGCCTTTTTCACTCGTGTTACACATTATATTTTTCCTACAGTCACTATAAAGCATATAAATAATTAGTCTTTCAAACACTATACAACACGTTTTTAGGTTCAGCTGGCGACACAAATGGTGCCCTAGAGAAAGTAGTACCCGCGGTCCGTTTCACTCCGCTATTTTTCCTTGGCAAGAAATGTGCTCCGCGTTTTGAGAATATAGTTCCGTATGTTTTTCTAATTTGAAGTGGTTTCCGCTCCTAAAAAAATGCTTTAAAGGTATTTTCTTGTTTATTAAGATCGTAGGAATGTTTTAGAAACGTTAAAAAGAAAAGTCCAGAAAGTTCAGAAATACCGAAACTATAAACACGAAATGACAGGTTAAATCGTAGTTATAATAGTCAATCAGCTGCTCATAGTATTTTTATCTTTAAGTGTTGCCAACCTATTTCCAAGCGTACACGGATTACGTGCATAATAAAACCACGCTGTTTTGTGTTGTTTCGTTGGAATCCTGATGTGCGGCAAAGTATAAACCGTACGGCAAAGTATAAACCGTACGGCAAAGTATAAATATGCAGCAATTAGCAGCTTTCTGTACTATAAACAGTACAAGGAAGCCAACTTTGTCGGGTGACTGTAGGAAAATAATATTTGCACAATATCAAAAGGCTATTTATAAATTAAAAACCGAAACTTAACTGTAAACAATCCTACTTTGACAGTTCAATCACTGCTTGGCTCAAATTAACTGTTGTCATGAATGCAACAAACAATTAATAGTGCTGCACCCTATTGGTAAGCCTTATAACTTTTTAATGATATTGAATATCATAGAACCAACTTGTGTAGTTGAAGCAGCAGACAAAATTCTTTAATTCATTTGCAATATGAATACTCATACTGTTAACATGGTACAATCCAAAGCCATTGGGGTGGAGCCCGAAAGGATTTTCGAGATAACAATATGTCTATATGTTAATCGGGAATGTGAGCTATCATCATACCAAATTTCAGCTCAATCCGACCAGTAGCTAATGCGTGATTGAACTTCAAATAAACAAACTAACTAACAAACAAACAAAGAAATAAACAAACAAACATTTATAATATTAGTATGAAAAAAAGATTGTTTAAGTTTTGTTGTCAGTCATTTTTACATGATTAAAATCAAGTTTCGTATTACTAAATGTTGTAATTTTTAACTATATAAGTAAATATCGAGTTTCACGAACATTTGCAAATAGTTTCTAATTTTATCGATTTCATCATTAAGAATATGGATAGTAAAACCTCTTCTGCAGCAACCTTTTGTGACTTTTCAAAAACGTTTGGCACTATTGACAGAAACATATTGCTAGAATAAATGGAAGATTATGGAGTCAGAGGACAAGCAAATAACTTAATTAAATCCTATTTTGAAAAACGTTTTCAGATGGTGCGAATAAAATGACCAAAGTGGCTGATATGACTCCGATTGGGAAATTTTCCATACAGGATGCCCACAGGGATCGATATTAGGGCCGATTTTTTTTAAATTTGTGCCGCAGACTTGCCCAAAAATGCTGATTCCACTTTTTCAAATACAATTCAGTACGCTGATAACACTACTGTAGTAGTCCAAGAAGGGAGTCAAGGTGGTCTTGATCTTAATATTGAAGACTGCATTTTTAACTTAAGCACCTGGTTTAAAGGAAATGGATTAAAATTAAATGAAAACAAAACTGAAAAAAACAAATTCAAAACTCGTGAATCTTTACAAAATTCAAGTAAAACCGAACATTTTTTTTACATTTTTAGGGATAACCATCGATGCGAAATTAGAATTATCTATACATATTGATACTTTAAATAAAAAAAAATTCTTCTTGTTTTGCTCTTAAAGTACTATCAAACTCAGTTAATAAAAAACATTTTATAAACTGTTTACTTTGCAACTATTCAATCTAGATTAACTTATGGGTTGGTAATTTGGGGTAGTACTTCGTGTGAAAATTTTAATAGAATATTCGGAATTCATAAAAGGGCCATTAGAATTGTGCATCATATTTCGGTTGATGAGCACTGTCAACAAATATTTCAAGAATTAAAATTATTAACTTTACCTTGTCTTTATATTTATGAATTATGTAAATACTTCATGAAAAATAGAATAATTTTATGATAATTTCACAAGACGTAATTTCATAATATATCCCTCGCACTCAACAGCAAAACTAGAAAAATCTCCTGATTGTATGACTCCTAGGGCAATTAATAAATTCTTATTATTAGAAAAAGACACAGACTTTAACAATTGTTTTTAAAGGTCAGGCAATATTTGTATGACAATGCATTTTATACTTTGAATGACTTTTTTACAGTAGTGCTAAGTTAGTTTAAGCTTTGAGATGACATTGTACTTACTCATCATCAATGTATGATGTACATATTTGTATATTTATGGAGAAATAAAACTCTTTCTTTCTTATATACTTTATTCAGCATGTTTTCTTTTCATGTCTGTTTACGAACTATAACAAAGCCATCAACACAAAAATCGTATATGGCCATATTCAAACCATCGATCTACTAAGTTTTAGTAATAGAGATCGACGATTCAAACATAGTGTTCAAAGAGATCCTGTAAACAATGCAAAAACATAAACAACTTATCATTATAAAAAAAATAATTATCTAAAATGTAAAATCACATCTATTCCTGGAGTAAAGACTCATATCTTACTTCATACTTACTCATACTCATACCGCCGGTGTTAGGCAGCGTTTGTTATAGTAGTTTACGCACTAAAGATAGTCTTAAAGGCTAATTATGCGAACTGCGTACACTACTTTACATACGACCGTTTTTAAATTAACTAACAATCACTACTTATAACATATAAGGGAGGTTAATTTTGTTTATAACCTCGCATTGCCACGAGCAATGATCTCGCAATGAGCAATGAGCAATGAGCTCGTTGTTTAGTGATGCAACGACTCATCGTCCCAACCACTCATAGGACAATGCAGTTACGTAAAATTACGACCGAACCCGCACATCCCTACTCTGTTGACGGTAACCGTAATCCAACCCATGTTTGCACCTTGAAACAAAATCAAGCGTTGTTAATATGTGAATGATTTGAAACTCGACGTTCTG